GACTGGCGAGTGGTGTGTCTTGCAGGCAGGTATGGTAGCCCCCCACCCCTCGCTCTCGCTCTGTCTCCACGACTCATTGACCTCCACGTGAAGATGCACTGGCGATATGTTAACTCCCTTGGCTGGTATACCAGAGGTTCATGGAGTTCGATTCTGACCCTGCTGCCTGCTGTATACTGCATATTTGGAGTTTGCATGTTCTCCCTGTGGTCGCGTGGGTTTTTCTCCGGGTCCTCCGGTTTTTGTCTTCACATTTAAAAAAAAAACATCACGCGTTTCGAGTACTTGCCTGCTGTACATTTCCATGTGATCAGCCACTTAGTTGAGCTATCATTTGTGTGGCCAGGTCGCTTCTAAAAAAAGAGCTACATAGTTCAGCGGGCCTTACCTGGTAAAATAAAAAGTTTAGCTTTTTAAGACAACTGCCATTCGATGCTGAGTCCAGCCCTGAAGCGCCTGGTTCGCCTCAAGCACCATTCTCCGTGACCAACGCAGAGTCAGAATCTTTATTCAGACTGGAGGAATCCGATGAGCTAGCAAGCTCTTTTTCACAGATGGTCCCAGTATAGAATGGGGAAGGGGTCTTCGTCCAGAAGTAGACCGACAGAAAGCGCTGCCAGTTACTTTTTGTTCACGCATCTTGAGATTCAGTTGCATTCGGTTGCTACTTTAAATTGCTAAAGATAATGCTTCGTTACGCGCTCATCACCTCTCTCCCCCTCTGATGTTTGCGTTGTGTATTGGGTTCTCGAAAAAATTGTTGTTGCTGTTTGCAAACGATGGAATTGCTTTCGTAGAACCGCACGAGGTCAATCGACAGGCGTTAAGCCAAGAAAGCTTCTCGTTGACTTGCTGCCGTCAATTAAGCGATGGTCGTCATCGGAGCCTCTCTCCCGTGCACACAGCGGGCGAGCGAGAGAGCAAAATTCACGACAGACGAGAGCAGATGGTATCCTTACTCATTCCGTTGAGCACCTCATGTTTGTTTAAAGTTTGTTTAACATTGACTGTGTCCTGCTCCCCCCTGAGTATTTGTAATGCCCAACCTCCCCCACCCCCCTTTAAACAAGATCACCCAACAGAGTTGACTGACTCACGGTCGCCCACACACCATGGCTCCCCAGCCCCTATTTACATTTTACTTAATCATCGTGTTTTTCGCCTGCTCTTGCAAAACTCTCTCGATGCCGCGTAGGTGACATCTCGCACCTCCGATGAGCGCACGGTTGGCAACGTACTCTGGCGGTGCGCTGTTTGTTGCTGGCCGCTTTGACGTTCTGTGGGCCTTTGGGACCGTGCTCAGCAATTGTGGTTCCATAATCCCGTACCAATTCACACAATGCGTCAGAGGCTGGGAGAGGGGGGGGCACTGCAAGAATTGCTGTATGTAGTCAAGTGAACCTCATGACACGTGGGTGACTGTCACAATTGTAATCAACAAGGGCTTGGTACTGAAGTGAGCAATGAGATACGGGGCGTGGGGTGGGTGGTGGAGCTCACGGTATGCATGCAACCTGAGCTCGTGTTTAGGCATCAGGGACATGTTTAATTGATTAATGGCCCAGTGACTGTCCACTGCCTACATCCACCGTCTGTCTATTTGACGAGAAAACACAAACGGCAACAGGAAAAGTGTTGTGCTGTGTGTGTGCCCGTGGTGTTCAGCTTTCCAAGAAACCACACGCGTGGCCCTGCTGAGAAGACGTCACGAGCCCCAGCGAGGCTTCCATGGGTCAACGTCGAGGCATTAGCTTTTTAAGGTTACATAGTACAGGGTGGCGGTCCAGATGTCTTGTGACCCCCCCCCCCCCCCCCCAATTAATTGACCGCTAACCTTATTTCCCATTGGGGATTCGTTTATGTTATAAATAAACCTCACTTTAAAAAATAATATCGCGTTTTTAGAGAATTATATGGGAGTCACACGACATCTGGACTACCCCGCACACTTACAATGTCAACTTACGGTATTGAAATGTTATTTGGCATGAACATGCAACTACATCACGCACACACGTGTATCATATTGATAACAAACAGCTGCCTCTATCAATCCACTGCTGAACGAATACCTGCTTGCGTCGTTTCGGCCATGGTGGTTGGTTGTTTGACCATACTTCACCACGCTGGTCAGTGCGGTTTGGTGAAGGAGGTGGGGGTTGAGGACCCAGGACCGTTTCGTACATCGCTCGCCACAATTCAATTATTGCGTACGATGGCAATACGTCCAGGAGGTAAATGCCACGGTGGAGAAACCGAACGCTGGCCACGAGAGAGGGCTTCAGGGATATAAGCAGCCGTGACACGGGGTCGAACTCGGGGGGAAAAACAGCCCGGGTTGATAGGCCAGTGCATTGGCCAGTGCGCTAACCACTGCGCCACCGTTCGTCCCCCACGCACACCCCACACCCCAAAAAGATACTCAAATATACAACAACGAATGATGTCCTCGCATCTGGGGCCTGCCTGGCGAAACTCTGAAATGGAATCACTGATCGTTTGTACTTCGCCTTGTCCTGTTAACAATTGCCTCCAAGCAAAGAACGAACGCTGAACGTGGCCATTATTCTTCTTTGGTTATTTTATTGTGTTATTTTATTATTTTATTCTCATTCTACGTGACTTTACCGAAAGAACCAAAGAAGATGAATCCTTGCAGTCACGAAAGCTTTAAATCGAAACTTTAGTGGCCATTATTGTAAATAAAAAGTTTGAGCGAACGCGAATGCCCTGTCCAAATCATCTCACGCCAACGTTCACAATCAAAGTGATCACGCAGCAGCAGCAGCAACAATCGTCAACACACCTAAATATATCCTCTTTACAGCATCAATCAGTGTCTAAGCGTACGTATGTGTGTGTGTGTGTTATATTGCACGCAGTATATTCGTCACGGCGCGATAATTAAAACCGCGACAACTCCACAAGACGAGAGTACGTCAACATCGCTTGAACATCCTTCATACAATGCACTCAAACTGGCGATGCGGCTTGCTGCTGCCATTGGCAGTGGTGAAGAACCACAGATAACAAGAAACTCAACATTCGTCGATAACAGCACTGTGGCCGTGAAATGAACGGTCGCCTATGCGCAATAGACGACGTTTCGGGCAATGACCCCCGCTTCACAAACACACAGGCGCAACACAATACACGCTCTTCGGTGTATCGTTGTCTTTAAAGTTACTTCCGCAGTAAATCCACGAAGGGCACCGATACTTCGAGACAATTCTATTCTTTGCACGTGTCTTCAATGGAAGCATTGTGTCAAATAATCACACACATGCGCTACAATCCACATCACTTACAATCCAGACGATCACGACATCTCAACATCTCGAGGATCTGTGCAATCATTAGACACGCGTTGAAGTCAAAGCCCACACAATACGAATCGCAATACAATCCACAGAACCGCTTCTCGAGGCACTCTTGTGTGGATCACTGTCTGAAATAATAGCAATATAAAAAAAATCACGCATACATAATCTAATGTCACGGATCCTTGAAATCCGTATCACGCGCGTCGCGACAAACACGATCTCAACATAATCCATGTGTGCAAATTAACCATTTTGTTGGGCGATTCTCCGACTGTGTATTTCGATGATACACAAACGAACTCATTGAATTACATTTAAAATCTTGAATCACACCATTCAAAGGATCAATCACATTCCCCAATCATCACCTGTGCGAGGTAAACTGTTGGAACTCACTGTCTGAACGCAGAACGTAGACTACTTGATCACAACATTGCATACATAAATCTAAAGACTATAACCTTTCTTTATTTTACCAGGTAAGGACCACTGAGCTCTGTAGCTTTTGTTCAGAAGCGACCCTGGCCATCACAAATGAGAGCTCAACGAGAAGAGGCTTGTCATCATGTGGACGTTTATGGCAGCCAAATACTCTAAACGCGCGATGTTCATTCTAAATGTGGAGGGATAAATCCACGCGTACACGGGGAGAAAGAGAGACACCACAAACTCCAAATACACAGCTAGCAGGCGTCAGGGCCGGGATCGAACCCACGACCTCCTGCGTACCAGGCGAGGTAGTTAACATCTACTAGCCACCGTGATGATGATGAGAGAGACACACAAACTCCAAATATAGAGCAGCAGGCGTCAGGGTCGGGATCGAACCCACGACCTCCTGTATACCAGGCGAGGTAGTTAACATCTCCTAGCCACCGTGATGATGATGAGAGAGACACCACAAACTCCAAATATACAGCAGCAGGCGTCAGGGTCGGGATCGAACCCACGACCTCTTGTACACCAGACGAGGTAGTTAACATCTCCTAGCCACCGTGACGCCCAAACTAATATCAATTAACCTTACAATCGGTAGAATCACAACATCATCAACAACAACAACCATTCCGCTTTGTCATGCGCACGTTTGTAGATCGTTATCTTAAAGTACGTGGTGTGTGTGCAGTCAATAGTACGCGGAGCGGTGTCACAGCGGTTCGCCCACTGGGCCAATCGAGTTCGATTCCACAGCCAAACATCGATTAGGAATATCTTGAACCGGTCCCAGGCCTCGCTTAAACGAAAGTGACCTGGCGCTGTGTAAACATCACTGGGGAGACAAAGGCGGCCGGGCGTGGTTCTGGCCACCCACTCGCCGTCTCGGGGAGCGGTGGTGCAGCGGTTAGCGCTACGCTACGAACCCGGCCACCCCGAGTTCGATTCCCGTTCACGGCCCACACCGTTGTGACGATTGTCTGAACCGGTCTTGGGGCTCCCCTAGGTCGCCTCGGCCTCAAATGAGTGTGTAGTTAAAACATCACCACTGGGGAAACAAAGGCGGCCGGGCGCGACGTTTCCCACCCCACCCCTCTTCTCGTGCGCCGTGCCGGCCTGCACACAGGTGCTGCCCGCCAAAGGCGCTTGCCCCAACAGTCTGTTGCAGGCTACGCGAGGCACCTTTGTCTTTGTAGCCACGCAGCAAGACAGACAGACAGACGCGCAAACGCCACGGCTTACCGGCTCTTGTCCGCGACACTTTTATCCAAACGGGAGTGGTGGTGGTGGTGGCGGTGGTGGTGACGGGATATCCAACGCAACTCAACAACAACCACAACCACCGAGAATCGTGGAGCAAAGCCGCCTGCTGGTCTCTCTGTCTCTCCTCTCTCCTCTCTCGCTCTCTCCTCCACACAGAGTCGCCACCAAGTTGCTCGCTGCTGTGAGTCCGGTTTTGCTTGATGGTTTCGAGGACGACTACGGTGGCGACTACGATGACGATGGTGGTAAGTTTGCCTGGAAAGGAAGATGAAGAGGGTTACAGACGACGACGATGTCGACGATGTTGTTGTTGTACGTTCCCCAGGGGTCCCTCTGAAGTTCGTTCGTTCGTTCGTTCCTTTCTTCGTTCGCTCACGAGGAGAGGCGAGCAAATAGCTGCGTCGCCGCTAGCGCCATCGCGAACGCACGGAGCGGGCGGGCTGGCAGGGGAGAGAGAGAGAGGGGAGAGAGAGAAAGGAGAGAGAGATGCAAGGGGGAAGGGCGAGGGAGGGGGAGAGTCAGAGGAGATGGGAGAGAGTTACACACAACAAAAAAAAAGCGATGCAAGTGGGGAGTGCGAAGTGGGGAGAGTCACAGAAGTGATGCGGGGTGCGACACTCCCACGGCGGGCGTGTCTGATTGGTCACAAGTTCGAAAGTTCCCAACAAACCTTCAGCCTCGCCTGAATGTGAAGAGAGGAGGCTAGTCGTGGTGTGTGTGTGTGTAGTGTGGGGGGGTGCACAACGAACCCAAATGTTAAACTCAGGCAGTGGTTGTTCGTCTTCTTCGTCTTCTTCTTCGTCTTCTTCATCTTCCAGATCGCCTTTCTTGGGGTTATTGCGAGACGCGGGCAGATTTTGTTTTTTTTTGAGAAGGTAAATCGTGGAAACACGCACATTAAGCACGGGACACTTCAGTACGACAACTACTTTGTTTAATCGAACCTTATGTGTGCATTAACATTATTGAAACAAAAAATACGACTGAGAACCTAAAGGTGTGCAAGGCTCATCCAGTGAATGTGAAGAAGCGCTGAGCCGAATCAACGTTAAACTCCACACAAAATGCAGAGCAGAGAGCAAGGTGGAACATAGACATAGAGTAGGGAAAGAGGGGATAGAGAGAGAGGGGGGGTAGAGAGAGAGGGGGGTAGAGAGAGAGGGGGGGTAGAGAGAGAGGTGGGTAGAGATAGAGGGGGTAGAGAAAGGGGGGTAGAGATAGAGGGGGTAGAGAGAGAGGGGGTAGAGAGAGGGGGTAGAGAGAGAGGGTGTAGAGAGGGGGGGGGGGGGTAGAGAGAGAAGGGGGGTAGAGAGAGAGGGGGTAGAGAGAGAGGGGGTAGAGAGAGGGGGTAGAGAGAGAGGGTGTAGAGAGAGGGGGGGTAGAGAAGGAGGGGGTAGAGAGAGAGGGGGTAGAGAAAGGGGGTAGAGAGAGAGAGAGGGGGTAGAGAGAGGGGGGGGGTAGAGAGAGGGGGTAAAGAGAGAGGGGGGTAGAGAGAGAGGGGGGGGGGTAGAGAGAGAAGAGAGGGTAGAGAGAGAGGGGGGGGTAGAGAGAGAGGGGGGGGTAGAGAGAGAGGGGGGTAGAGATAGAGGGGGTAGAGAGAGGAGGGTAGAGATAGAGGGGGTAGAGAGAGAGGGTAGAGAGAGAGGGGGGGTAGAGAGAGAGGGGGTAGAGAGAGAGGGGGTAGAGAGAGAGGGGGTAGAGAGAGGGGGTAGAGAGAGAGGGTGTAGAGAGAGGGGGGGGTAGAGAGAGAGGGGGGGGCAGAGAGAGAGTGGAGGTAGAGAGAGAGGGGGGGGGGTAGACAGAGAGAGGGGTGGGTAGAGAGAGGGGGTAGAGAGAGGGGGTAGAGAGAGAGGGGGGTAGAGAGAGGGGGTAGAGAGAGGGAGTAGAGAGAGGGGGGGTAGAGAGAGAAGGGAGGGTAGAGAGAGAGGGGGTAGAGAGAGGGGGGGGGGGTAAAGAGAGGGGGGTAGAGAGAGAGGGGGTAGAGAGAGGCGGGATAGAGAGAGGGGGTAGAGAGAGAGGGGGGTAGAGAGAGAGAGGGGGGTAGAGAGAGGGGTAGAGAGAGAGGAGGCTAGAGAGAGAGGGGGGGTAGAGAGAAGAGGGGGTAGAGAGAGAGAGGGGGGTAGAGAGAGAGGAGGGTAGAGAGAGGGGGTAGAGAGAGAGGGGGCTAGAGAGAGAGGGGGGTAGAGAGAGGGGGGGTAGAGAGAGAGGGGGGGTAGAGAGAGAGGGGGGTAGAGAGAGGGGGGTAGAGAGAGAGGGGGTAGAGAGAGAGGGGGTAGAGAGAGGGGGTAGAGAGAGGGGGGAGTAGAGAGAGAGGGGGTAGAGATAGAGGGGGTAGAGAGAGAGGGTAGAGAGAGAGGGGGTAGAGAGAGGGGGTAGAGAGAGGGGGCTAGAGAGAGAGGGGGGTAGAGAAAGAGGGGGTAGTGAGAGAGGGGGGGTAGAGAGAGGGGGGTAGAGAGAGGGGGTAGAGAGAGGGGGTAGGGAGAGAGAGGGTAGAGAGAGGGGGTAGAGAGAGGGGGTAGAGAGAGAGAGGGGGTAGAGAGAGAGGGGGGTAGAGAGAGAGGGGGGTAGAGAGAGGGGGTAGAGAGAGGGGGTAGAGAGAGAGAGGGGGTAGAGAGAGGCGATAGAGAGGGGGGGGGGGTAGAGAGAGAGAGGAGGTAGAGAGAGAGGGGGTAGAGAGAGGGGGTAGAGAGAGAGAGGGAGCAGAGAGAGAGGGGGGGTAGAGAGAGAAGGGGGTTAGAGAGAGGGGTAGAGAGAGAGGGGGGTAGAGAGAGAGGGGGGTAGAGAGAGAGGGGATAGAGAGAGGGGTAGAGAGAGGGGTAGAGAGAGAGGGGTAGAGAGAGAGGGGGGGCAGAGAGAGGGGGGGTAGAGAGAGAGAGGGGGTAGAGAGAGAGAGAGGGGGTAGAGAGAGAGGGGGGTAGAGAGAGAGGGGTAGAGAGAAGGGGGTAGCGAGAGAAGGGGTAGAGAGAGAGAGAGGGGGTAGAGAGAGAGAGGGGGGGGGGGGTAGAGTGAGAGAGAGGGGGTAGAGAGAGAGGGGGTAGAGAGAGAGGGGGTAGAGAGAGAGGGGGGGTAGAGAGAGAGGGGGATAGAGAGGGGTAGAGAGAGGGGGTAGAGAGAGAGGGGGCAGAGAGAGAGGGGGGAAGAGAGAGAGGGGGGGTAGAGAGAGAGGGGGGGGTAGAGAGAGAGGGGGTAAAGAGAGAGAGGGGTGGGTAAAGAGAGAGGGGGGTAGAGAGAGAGGGGGGTAGAGAGAGAGAGGGAGCAGAGAGAGAGGGGGGGTAGAGAGAGAAGGGGGTTAGAGAGAGGGGGTAGAGAGAGAGGGGGTAGAGAGAGGCGATAGAGAGGGGAGGGGGGTAGAGAGAGAGAGGAGGTAGAGAGAGAGGGGGTAGAGAGAGGGGGTAGAGAGAGAGAGGGAGCAGAGAGAGAGGGGGGGTAGAGAGAGAAGGGGGTTAGAGAGAGGGGGTAGAGAGAGAGGGGGGTAGAGAGAGAGGGGGGTAGAGAGAGAGGGGATAGAGAGAGGGGGTAGAGAGGGGGGGTAGAGAGAGAGGAGGGGTAGAGAGAGAAGGGGTAGAGAGAGAGAGAGGGGGTAGAGAGAGAGAGAGGGGGGGTAGAGAGAGAGAGAGGGGGTAGAGAGAGAGGGGGGTAGAGAGAGAGGGGGTAGAGACAGAGGGGGGGTAGAGAGAGAGGGGGATAGAGAGGGGTAGAGAGAGGGGGTAGAGAGAGAGAGGGGGCAGAGAGAGAGAGGGGGGAAGAGAGAGAGGGGGGGGTAGAGAGAGAGGGGGTAAAGAGAGAGAGGGGTGGGTAAAGAGAGAGGGGGGTAGAGAGAGAGGGGGTAGAGAGAGAGGGGGTAGAGAGAGAGGGGTAGAGAGAGAGAGGGGGGGTAGAGAGAGAGGGGAGGTAGAGAGAGAGGGGGGGTAGAGAGAGAGGGGTGGGTAGAGAGAGGGGGTAGAGAGAAGGGGTAGAGAGAGAGGGGGTAGAGAGAGGGGGTAGAGAGAGGGGGTAGAGAGAGGGGGGTAGAGAGAGAAGGGATGGTAGAGAGAGAGGGGGTAGAGAGAGGGGGTAGAGAGAGGGGGGAGAGAGAGAGGGGGGTAGAGAGAGAGGGGGTAGAGAGAGAAGGGATAGAGAGAGGGGGTAGAGAGAGGGGGATAGAGAGAGAGAGGGGGTAGAGAGAGAAGGGATAGAGAGAGGGGGTAGAGAGAGAGGGGGTAGAGAGAGAGAGGGGGGTAGAGAGAGGGGGTAGAGAGAGAGGGGGCTAGAGAGAGAGGGGGGCTAGAGAGAGAGGGGCTAGAGAGAGAGAGAGGGGGGTAGAGAGAGAGTGGGGTAGAGAGAGGGGTAGAGAGAGAGGGGGCTAGAGAGAGAGGAGTTGTAGAGAGAGAGAGGGGGTAGAGAGAGAGGGGGGGGTAGAGAGAGAGGGGGGTAGAGAGAGGGGGGTAGAGAGAGAGGGGGTAGAAAGAGAGGGGGTAGAGAGAGGGGGTAGAGAGAGGGGGGGTAGAGAGAGAGGGGGGTAGAGAGAGAGGGGGTAGAGAGAGAAGGGATAGAGAGAGAGGGTAGAGAGAGAGAGGGGTAGAGAGAGGGGGTAGAGAGAGGGGGCTAGAGAGAGAGGGGGGGTAGAGAGAGAGCGGGTAGAGAGAGAGGGGGGGGGGTAGAGAGAGGGGGTAGAGAGAGGGGGTAGAGAGAGGGGGTAGGAGAGAGAGGGTAGAGAGAGGGGGTAGAGAGAGGGGGTAGAGAGAGAGGGGGTAGAGAGAGAGGGTGGTAGAGAGAGAGGGGGGGTAGAGAGAGAGGGGTAGAGAGAGAGGGGGGTAGAGAGAGAGGGGGGTAGAGAGAGGGGGTAGAGAGAGAGGGGGCTAGAGAGAGAGGGGGGTAGAGAGAGAGGGGGTAGAGAGAGAGTGGGGTAGAGAGAGAGGGGTTTAGAGAGAGGGGGGTAGAGAGAGAGGGGGGTAGAGAGAGGGGGGGTAGAGAGAGAGGGGGTAGAGAGAGAGGGGGTAGAGAGAGGGGGTAGAGAGAGGGGGGGGGTAGAGAGAGGGGGGTAGAGAGAGAGAGGGGGGTAGAGAGAGAGGGGGTAGAGAGAGAAGGGATAGAGAGAGAGGGTAGAGAGAGAGGGGGTAGAGAGAGGGGGTAGAGAGAGGGGGCTAGAGAGAGAGGGGGGGGGGTAGAGAAAGAGGGAGTAGTGAGAGAGGGGGGGTAGAGAGAGGGGGGTAGAGAGAGGGGGTAGAGAGAGGGGGTAGGGAGAGAGAGGGTAGAGAGAGGGGGTAGAGAGAGGGGGTAGAGAGAGAGAGAGGGGGTAGAGAGAGAGGAGGGTAGAGAGAGGGGGTAGAGAGAGGGGGTAGAGAGAGAGGGGGGTAGAGAGAGGCGATAGAGAGGGGGGGGGTAGAGAGAGAGGAGGTAGAGAGAGAGGGGGTAGAGAGAGGGGGGTAGAGAGAGAGAGGGAGCAGAGAGAGAGGGGGGGTAGAGAGAGAAGGGGGGTAGAGAGAGGGGGTAGAGAGAGAGGGGGGTAGAGAGAGAGGGGATAGAGAGAGGGGGTAGAGAGAGAGAGGGGGGTAGAGAGAGAGGGGGGTAGAGAGAGGGGGTAGAGAGAGGGGGTAGAGAGAGAGGGGGTAGAGAGAGGCGA